AGGGAACTGGGAGGGACACTGGGAGCAGCAGGAGGGAACTGGGAGGGACACTGGGAGCACCCGGAGGGAACTTGCAGGGCACCCCTCAAGGCCCCTGGGACCACCCGGGACTGGACAGGACCAGGAGAAAAAAGTTCGACTCTGCATTTGCTCCCGATAAGTTCAGCCACCAAGGAAGGGCCTGGGCTCATTGGAGTGGTAACAGTTCAAATTGAGGTGGATGCCATGGTCAAAAATTTCCCACCATTCTTTGGATTCATATTCTAATTTGCCCATAGTAAGTGCCAGTTGTAACATTTGCATGGTTTCAGCTCTTTCGGCTTCATAGCAGGGGAGGTAAATCCCYGAYGGAGATCGCCCCCGCGTGCAATGGATCCATCACTGTTCCCTGCACACTTTGCAAATAAAACACCTAAAAAGACAACAATTACAGGTAACATTAGCACATTTGAAATAAAATGAATAAGCTAAATCATGTACTGTAATACTCTATATACAGACATGCAAATTCCTCCTGGTGACAGAGACATCAATTGGATATAGAATTTTGTTTAAAAAAAAGAACATGCTATGATTTCAAAATGCTGTCACAACAATACTGATTTCACAAAGGAGGCTGAGAAAAGTTAACAATTTCTGCAAAGATTTTGAAATAAACATAAATAATAGTTTTCTAAATTATAATGAATAGGCCTTTTCAGAAAATATCCAAAGGATTTACAACTAGATGCTTCCTCTTATAAAAATTTGCTTTTTTTTGTATGAGCTCAGCTCTCCCTAGTATGCCGATACAGATAGAGATACAACAGTGTGCAATTTTCAGTTAGGAAACTATGAACACTGGCTTCCACTATAATGCAGAATACAGATTACTTATTGAAAACATTCCAATATTTGATATTAATTCCATGTATGAAAACTGTAACATATGCAGTCTATAAGCACAATGTTTTCTTCTTAAAGATTACAAATTTTGTTTGAAATTTATTCATTTCTACTGTCATTCATAATCATGAAAATATCTTGAAATGGACCTGTGTTTTATTATTACAGAGCCTTTATTGGTACTAAGAGAACCCCCCAAAAAATTAATAGTTTTATACCATACTTGTGGGTGAATTTGCTGCTCATCCTGAACAGACAGGGWGTATAATTTAATTTGTAACCCATTCCTCTTTACCTGGAGTGATGTGTCCAATTAGATATTCAAGTCCCCTTCTCTTCTGCTATGTGGGCATCTGCTCACGCAGGAGACAGAAGCTGTGATGCTGTCCAGCAGTGGTGAATCGCTTTTGCAGTTTTGGGGGTACCATTGTCCATCAGCATGGACATTGCTCCTGCCTACACCTCTCAGAGAGAACCTGGTTCTCAGAGAACCAGGAGGTTCTTGCAGTTATGGGATGTGACTCACAAATCTGGTATCCCTCACTTGCCTGCAGGTTAAGCAATAATTGAATGTAATCACAGTACCTTAAAATGTGTTTTGCAGAAACAAAAAGGGGGAATGTCAGGGGAACCCCCACATGCCAAAAAGCCTTTTATACACTTAATCACCTTATGGTGCCTTCTGATTCTAACATTCCAGTTTTTTGAAGCATTTTCTGTCTTTGCAGTTGGAAGCAGCAGGGAATGTTCCCCAAGGAAAGGTTTGGGTAAGAGACCTCATAAGCAATAACTGGGAAGGTCCCTGGGACCTCATCACTTGGGGGTATGGGTATGCTTGTGTTTCCACAGATACTGGACCTCGCTGGGTGCCAGCACGGTGTGTGAGACCTGACTTGAAGCAGAATGAATGCAGAAACGACCATGGCACGGGTTAGAGTTCTTCTGACCATCCTCATCGCCGCCTCCATGGCTGCCTGGAGTTGTGGTGGGAAGGAGCAGCACTGATGCCCTCGCTGCCTTAAGGGAATATTTGGGTGACTGTAGGTCATGCTTTGAATCAATCATCTGTGTGTGTGTCGCTTGCTACGCCTCGCTCTCCTTTTCAGACATGCTTGCTAGGAGTGCCATTGCAAAATGAGACATTAATATGGGCAGTAGCGAAGGGAACAATGGGACGAGGGGAAACAAGGCTGATACCACCTATCCTAATGAAGCACAGGAACTTGATTTATTGGGGTCTCTTCATGCACTTGCTTGCGTGATCTTTAATAGATCCCGTGCTTGGTACAGGGGACATTATGATGTTTCAAAAATGAATGTTTTGCCTTTGCAAGCTTGGTATGGTAACTCATCTACTTGGTGTAATAAGAGTGTGGGTGTGGGATTTTTGAACAATCAGGTGCCGCAACAGCTGCCTCCCGGAGTGTTTCTGTTATGTGGAGGTGGAGCATGGGCAGGCATGACTAATACAGTAGCTTTTGCAAACTCACCAATTATGTTCTGAAGACTAATTAAACAGCTGTCTCTTAACTAGTGTATGTTTGACACAAATGTATACTCTGGTTGCTAGAGTGGATAAAAGAGGCTTGTCTCACAATAAACTTCCTTCTTTCTCTCTGTTTCTTTTCACCCACTTTTGTTTGTTTTGTATTTATTATTTAATGTTGCTGTTTGGCCAGCAGCAACAAAAAAATCACACAAGAAAGGTCAACACACAAAGTCACAGGACATCACAGAGTGTCCCTGAGTGTCCACAGCTGTCCCCCACACCTCCACCTGCCCCTTACACCCACCTGGCCTCTGCCATCCCTTGCCAGTGCACCCCAAAATCACTCAGAGCCACCCCAGAAATTGATACCTGATCGATAACCGCTCCTATGTGATC